GAGCTTCATGTTCCTCTGCTACTGGTTTGGCTTCCAGATAGACGAGTCCGAGTAGCGCCATCTCACTGCGGAGCTGAGTCCCACCTGGTTTTTAGACGTACAGAATGAGCAGACAGATCGCATCAGAGCGTCGGGTCGCACAGCGTGAGAACAAACATCGTGAGCTGAGAACTTTTAAACCCTGAGGTTTCGTCATAGAGTGTGAGCTGTAGCTGCGAGCAACGATTGAAAAAATCGTACAGTGTATGCGCAGCGGATCTAATCAACCACACATACTTCCCATAAGAAGGACAAAAGTGGTGTTAGAAGAAAGACAAAAGTTAGCTGCATTCCAAGTCATTTCAGAGAGTATTTTAAAAAGATCTTGCAGAGTAACGCCTAAAGATGTGATTCTCCAAGGTGCAGACCCTGTGAAATATTCCAAGCTAAAAGCTTCTTCCTGACGGCTAAACGCTGCTGAAATAAGACGATCCAAACATCAGGCTGCTGAATTTCTGAGGCTGATGGAGGCAGAGGCAGCGAAACCTTTTCTGTCACCGTCTGACCTGCAGCAGCCAATCAGACCGCCTGGAGCCGCCACATCCATCGACTGACATCAGAGACGCTGAGAGTTTTACCTGCAGCTTCCGCTCGTGGTCTCCGCTGCAGAGCGAGTTCAGAGAAACTTTGAAGGTTTTCCACACAGGATTGAGATTATTCATGACCGTCTGAGGGAGACAGAGAGAGGATGTTAGACCTGGAGCCGCCTGAGGAACATCCTGCAGACAGGAAAACTGAAGCAAGGCTGGAATAAAACACGAACATTTCCTCAATCCCTACGCTGACAGCAAGAGAGCATCAGCTGTATGCTTGTTTTTAGCAATAATTGGTTAGAGGACATTTAACTCTAACCAATAATGACTAATAAATGAGAATAAATTGCTTAAAATAAGAGAAAAAAATCTTAAAATACATTTTTATACTTGATTTAAGTTTTTTTGGATGCTTACTACTCGGATATTATGTTCTTGTTTTAAGAAATATTACCAAGTCTCATTTGCTTGCTGCACTGGCAGATTATTTTGCTCAAAATAAGCAATTATTCACTTAAAACACTATATTTTTTTATTATTTTTTAGACGCCGTTTTTTGTTGTGTACTGCCTGTTT